ATATATGTTTTATGATCAATTAGTTGTCAAGTTAGACTTGGATAATTCTGAAATTATAAGAAACAAATTAATTGCATTCTTAAAGAACTTGAAGACTCGTTGGAATGATGTTAGTCACAAAGCTACAGCTTTTGAGAAAAAGTATGCAAATTGGTTGGATACTGACTTTATATCTTCTGCATATGTTCCACCTTCTACTCCAACAATTGTTACCACTCCTCTTGGAAGGCCTACTTTGAATTTTGATGAGTCCTCTTTGAGATCTAAGTATAGAAAAGTTGATGAAATGGATCAATACTCTGCTAGCCAACTATTATTTGCAACTAAAGTGAAATTTGGAAAAGATAATCAGCCTAAAAAAGCTAAATTAGCAGAAAAATTTTTAGTGGATACTATATCCCCATCTTATATGTCTAGTGATGAAGCTTTGCCCTTATTTTAGATTGTAATTTAACAAAAGCATCTTATCAACTGATGAAAAACAAAGCTGATGAAAAGGAATGCAATCTCTACCCAGCATATAATAATGCTAGAATGGCAAAAGATCGATGCTATCCTAAAAATATATGTGTAACTGATTATACTGCCACTTCAAGATCGACTGGATCACACTACAACAAGACTTTTGGAGACACAGACTGGTGTTGTAAATGCAAATGAGTATAATAGAGTAACTCTAATATACAAAGCTGGTTTTGATGGCTCAAGTGGGCATAGTATTTATAAACAAACATGTAATGATAATGAGTGTACTAGGAATCTGAAGAGTGAAGAATCTCTGTTTATTACATGCTTTGTACCTTCGGAACTCTCATCTATTGTTAATGATAAAAAGATTATTCTTTAGAGAAACTCTAAACCATCATCTACTTTATACTGTCGACCTTCGCGATTTAAATTTGTAGAGGAAACTGCAGACCTTCTTCGTAGTGAGGAATTGACATTAAAAAATAAGATCAAACAGCTAACTAAAACAAGCTATATCCTACTTAATGGTAAGCCTATTGATGTTGACAATAAAATTGAAATTACTATGATTGATGGAAAAGCCCATACTGCATTATCTGATGTAACTGACTCATCACAGTGTTGCTCTATTTGTGGTGTTAGTCCTAAAGAAATGAATGATATTGACAAGGTATACAGAAAATATTGTATATATAAACTAGTAGAAAATCACTCAACAAAATTTTTTTATTTAACACTGTTTTATCAATAAAGACTCATCAGAAATGCATCATTTCTGATGAGTATTTATTCATAAAACACAGTGTTAAATAAAAAATTTTTGTAAAGCGATTTTCTAATTTAATTTATCCTTGCTCTGTTCTTTTAAGAACATTATTACATTTTAAAATTTGTTTATATATATATATATATATATATATATATATATATATATATATATATATATTTGCATACCTTTTTATATTTGATTAGTTTAAAATGCAGTTTTTATTTATTACAGGTGTTACTGAAGTTGCACACTCAAAATGGATTACAATATGGGATTTCAATTCTACATGCATGGATACGAACATTCGAATGCTTAATCCATATTGCTTACAAATTGCCAGTTAAAAAATGGTCAGCAAGATTGCCAGCTGACAAGCAACAAATCGAAATGCAAAAGAAAAAAATTCAGCTTGCTTTTCAAGAGAAGATAGGATTGATTGTCGATAGGCCTAAGGCTGGCGGCTCAGGAACATCTAATGATGGAAACACCTCCAGAAGAGCCTTTCAGAATGGACAACTGTTTTCTGAAATCGCAGGATTTAATTTTGAACTTATAAAAATGTTCCATGTTGTTCTGACTTGTATTTCATGTGGTTTTGAGCTTGATGCAGTTTTATTCAGGGAATACTGTACACATACAGCTAGGTTTTACGTGGAGTGCTATCCATGGTATTATATGCCGCAGAGCATTCACAAAATGCTAATTCATGCTCCCAGTGTTGTTGATTACATGACATTACCAATTGGGCTCTTTAGTGAAGAAGCTATAGAGGCTCGGAATAAAGATTTTAAAAAGTATCGTAAGCATTTTACACGCAAGTGTGACCGTATCAAATGTAATGAAGATTTATTTAAGCGATTATTTTGTTCTAGTGATCCAGTCATTTCTTCACTAAGAACAATAGTTAGTACTAAGAAGAAGGTTTTGCCAGAAGGTGTTCTGCAACTGTTAAAAAACAGTGTTTAGTTGTTTTTTTTATGGAATTTTACAGGGTAATTTTTGGTTTCTTTAGTTATTATTAAAACTTAAGTTTATGCATTGTAAATTAAAATTGTTAATATTCTATAATTAACATAAATTAAAAATTTCACACATACATTTATTTGGAACACCAGAGCATTAAAAATTCTATTTTTTTAATAATTTGCAGTAAATAAGTCAAGAATTTGTATAAAATTGACTGTCACTATAAAAATATATAAGATGTTGCTATGCGTAATAAGGTATCCGTAGCAACCAAACTAAAAATCATAATATAAAACGCATACCTCTTATTGGTACTCTTACCAAATTTAGTGTGTATGACACACAAAAACAACTACAAGTAGGTTTATGCTACGCCAAAATAAGTATCCACAGTAACCAAATAAAAAAAAACACCTTTATAAGAAGCGCAGACCTTACACTGGTGCTCATGCAAAATTTAGTGTATATAGCACACATAACAATTCTGCAACTACAAAAAGTAGGTCGTTGCTATGCAAAATTTCGGTATCCATAGCAACTAAATAAAAAATAACATCTTAATAGGAGGCGCAGACCTTACCCAGTAAGCACAGGACGTTTTTAAAACGTTTTAATTCCGTTCAATTTACGGTCAGACGTTTAAAAAACCAATACAATTGTTTTTTAAACGTTTTTTTGTTAATTTAAACGTTTTTTCAGCGTTTTTTAAGTGTTTTTTTTTTTTTAACAACTTACGAAATTTCTCAGTTAGCTTATGAACGTTTTTAAAACGTTTTTTTAACATATTAAATAACGCTTTTTGAATGTACACCCCAGTAAGCACAGGACGTTTTTAAAACGTTTTAATTCCGTTCAATTTACGGTCGGACGTTAAAAGAACCAATACAATCGTTTTTAAAACGCTTTTTTGCAAACGTTTTTTTTAATGTTAATTTAAACGTTTTTTTAGCGTTTTTTAAACGTGTTATTTTTTTTATTAACTTACGAAATTTCTCAGTTAGCTTACGAACGTTTTTAAAACGTTTTTTTAACGTGATAAAAAAACTTTTTTTAAACGTACAGCACGGCAATATTTAAAAGAGTATGTTTACTCAAATAATGGCGTGACCTTCGATTAGGCGAATTGATTTATTTAAGTAAAAATTATATAAATTAGTATATATTTAAATCTACCAAGTGTTTGTATTGTTTTTTTGTAGAATTAAATTTGAAAATATATTGGAGTATTTTTAGTTTAAAGTTGTATGCCTTCGAGTGACTTACTTCAAAATGTCATTTTAAAATTTTTTATTCTTTAATGATATTCTGGTGTTATTACCAAATGTTTAGCAGTATGAAACCTATAATATTATATACCATTCTATATACCCAATTTTACTTATAAAGTTAATAATCTGTAAAGTAATTTGTAAAAATTTTTTAATTGTAAAATTGCTACATGAGAAGACAAGTTGTTAGATGAAATTCAAATATTCTCTATGTTTGTGTTGTGTAGGTCAAAAAATAATAAACAAAGATGATATTGATTGTGATGACCAAGAGATTCATTTTAAGACACATCAATCTTCATCATCTTTAAATAAAAAGGATAAACATTATGGATTTCCATTATCTCAAGCAAGTAAGTCTTTAGTTAAAAACAATAATGTAATGTTTGTTGTAAAATGCTTACATGACTGTCAATATTAAAAAATATCATTAAAACGATGAGGTTCCAATTTTAACCTTAAATAATCACCTTCATGAAATCCATTATTTCAATATTATCAAAACTATAAATCTATGGAACAATCTTTCTTGTCTAATCCGAAATCTGAGAAAAAATGCTAATATATATAATATAGCATTGCCACTATTAGGTATTTTACTGTCTATTAGTTTTTCTCTGATTTAGGCTTAGACCAGTAAAGTTGTTAAATTGTTAAATTTATGTATTTTAAATTTATTTACGTAGTTTAGTTAAGACAATGTAAAATTTAATTAGTGTAAATTTGTTTAGACTTTCAATATTATGTGTTGCTTTTCTTAAATGAGATAAAAACCCAAGGATGCAAAAAACTTAATATAAAATAGTGTGAAGAAAAAGTAGTAACTGAAATAAACAGCATAATAGAATTTGATAAGTTTGACTCAGCACTTGACAATGTTTCATCTAGTAACTTAGTAGTATCTCTGCAGTTGTAAATTGCTAAATACTGATTTGACAGATTTTTCTTTTTTTTTTTAATTTTCTTTACAATATATAATTTTTACTACTTAATTAGGAATTGTCAGATTTCCATTATTTCTCTCTATTAGAAACAAAGAGTTCAAAATATTAGTGGTAAGAACTGTCAAAAACTTGTGATAGCTATGATGAAGAGGTTAGTAAATTAAAAGTGCATATAAATACTCTGTTTAATTTTATAATGATATTACTCCCGTCTTACAATCTATTATACAAATCCCATGCATGGCTCTACGTTAGCCATTTTACCATAATGGGATGACTGAATAACCGTGAATTTTATACGCGCAAACTAGCACATGTGCGAAGCAGTTACAAAAACTGGCACAATGCCAAATGGCATAAGTGCAAATGGGCATAATTGCACAAAAAGAATTCCAAACATTGGCATAATTGCAAACTGCTATAAGTGCAAACTGGCATATGTGTAAATTGGCATAAGTGTGCTAAATAGATTTACAAACATTCGCATACGTGTGAATTGCCATAAGTGGGAACTGGTATAAGTGTGAAACAGTTGCAAAAACTCGCAAAAGTGCAAACAACATAAATGCGAACTGGCATAAGTGTGCCAAATAAGTTTGCAAAATTTAGCATAATTCCAAACTGCGAATTTATTACACGCATTTATGTCAGTTCGCACTTCTGTAGTTTTTGCCTATTCGTATTGTTTGCTAACCTGTTTGGCGCACTAATGCCAATTTACACTTTTACCAGTTAGCAAGTTTAAAGCTATAGGTTATACTATAGCTTTAAACTTTAGTCCAGATAATTCTTTTAACCCAGATAATATTCATATATATGACTACACTAATGGTTAGTGTACACTTATGATCTGGACTATATTAATGGTTAGTGTGCTATTTTTTAAATAATAGATTAGATTTAATTAATAGATAAACTGTATCGTTAAATTAAAATCTAAATGTTTAATTACATTTAGATTTTATGGAAAAAAAGAAAAAAATTTTAAATACAGTAGTTAATTATAATTTCATAAATTATAAGATATAATATTATTAAAATATATTATTTTTAGATTTATGAAAAATTCACTCATGGCCAAATCTAATATGGCAGCTGGAAAAGGCAAAGGATCTTTTTAGCCTAACTAAGCTATACAACTTAATAAAAGGTACGTTTATATATATATATATATATATATATATATATATATATATATATATATATATATATATATATATATATATATATATATATATATATATATATATATATATATATATATATATCATGGCCTACTTGAATTACACGGCCTGATTTGTTGCATTTTTCGTAAAAAATTAAGAGGCCAGTTTTTTTACGGCTCAAGTATAAAAAACTTCATGTTATGGTTAAGAGTCTTGTTTGCACTATAATTGTTTTATTTTTATTTAATTAAAATGGTTTAATAATAGTTAGATTTTCTTTGAGTACTTACATTATTTTGTGCTGGATTTTCTGTTAACTGATTGCCTGCTTCAGTTTATTCAAACAACACAGAATACTGAAATAGGCTTTCAGATAACTATATCAACGCATACCAACATGCTACTAAAAATAATCTTTCATGTTGCTAAGATTGCCTAAAACTCTTTATTGAACAAAAAAAAGGTTTGTACTTTTGTATTTTCTATAATTGAAATTAAAAGAAGAAATTTTTGTTAGAAATGTTTATTTTGTCATTGTTTTTTTTGGAATTCTTTTACTTGACCTTTTCTCAATGAATATGTAATTTTTTATTATAAAAAATATTGTTAACAATACGAAATCTATATTTGATTCCCCATTTTTGGTGGTTTTTATTTGTAAAATTAAAACTCCTAGATCAAATCTTTAAAATTAGTTTCACAAATTTTTAATTGAAATAGAATGACTGCAATGTTTCATTAGAGAAATAACATAAAATACTAAAAAGATGACAAATAAAATTAGACAGAGATTGAATTGAATATATAGGTTCTTCTCTTTATAAAGTAACGTTTATTGATCATAAGTTTTAAATTAAAATCTTTTTGTTAATTTTTACCATTATTACTTGCTTTAGTATATATATCTGTGCTATCTTCAGAAAGCTGACAGTAGTATTTATGTAGACAACTAAGAAATATTTTGCATAATATATTTTAAGGATTATCAAAATTCTGATAAATATTTTCTGAGAAAATCTGCCAAAATATTTTTACTAATGCATATTTCTAAAAGACTCACAAAAAGTCTACTACTGGTCATTTAACTATACTTACTAAAACCTAGCTTTAAAGGATCACTTTGTAAATTAGAACTATAAACAAATGTAAAGCCTTCTTTAAGGAAATCATGCATAAGAAATACAATTACTTTTAGTGTTGTAATTAGAGCACAAGAAGTTTGTTTGGTTAATGTAAAGTATTTATCAAATTTTATTTTGATCAAATTTCAGTACAATTTGCAATTTCTCTATAAAGTGTGGGTTTGTTATCACCTTTCAAAGCAACACTGCTGAGTTTGATTGGATGAATTAAGTTTCTGCTTTGAATTAAGTATGATAAATAACTTATAAAACAATGATAAAAATTGTGCTGCGTTATTTCTTTCAGAAAAATAACTCTAAATTACAGCTGCAGTTGTTTCGTCAAATGTTTTCAATGTTGACAACTTGTTTGTTGTTTCCAAAATATGTGACTTGATAATTAATTTTTATTGCTTTTTCTTGCCTGTTTAATAATTGATCTTTTAATAAACTTTAAGAAATATATTCCCTGTAATGTAATCAGCAGTAACTTCAACAAGAAGAAAAAAACAAAAACCGAGAATAACAAGTGTGTTTTAAACACTCCTTTTCTAAACTAAATGATAAATTAATACTTTTCCATCCCCAGTATATGCTTTATTAAACTACAAAATGCATTAACATTTGTAGAATGGTTATCGGTAACAACAGCTCTTATCTTGAATTCAGATTGGTGCATTGAGGTAATATACTCATCATTTTCTTTTTTCAAACATAAACCAGTTATGTAAACTTTAGATGAGGATTTCAAAACATAAGAATAAATTTTTGAAGCCCTACAATCATAAAAACAAAAAACTTCTTTAAAAACTTTTTTAAAAAGATTATTTTCTCAATCTTCATCAAATCGTTTATCACTTTGGTATTGGGCTGCTTTTTGGAAGTACATCTTACCCACAAGAACCAAATAATCTCTTGATACCAAATTTTTGTCAATGATTTTTCTAATATATTATAATTTTTTAATTTGTAATTTTCACCTCTGCGAAATCATTTAAATAAAGAAATATGATAAGCATTTATTTGGCAATAAAAAAAATTAGAAATTTATTAACAGCTATTGACTCCAAAACAATTGGTATGCCTGATACTTCTTGCCTAATGTAAATAAATGGCCTGATTTATTGCATTTTAATTACTGTATGTTTGAGACATCCAGCATAGTAAAGTATTTATATTGGAAAACCTTGTTTTGCAGTGTAAATATTTTGAAGAAAAGTTTATGTTTTCTACTTAACAATTGCAATTATATTAAATACAAAATTACAAACCTTTAAAATTATTTCCAATAGAGTATTGTGAGTAGTTTTAGCAATATGTAAGATTATTTTTAGTAGCATGTTGGTTTGTGTTAATATAGCTATCTGAAAGCCTATTTCAGTATTCTTTGTTATTGGAATAAACTGAAGCAGGCAATCAGTTAACAAAAAATCTAGCTCAAAATAATGTAAGTTCTCAAAGAAAATCTAACTATTATTAAACCATTTGAATAAAATAAAGATAAAACAACTATAGTGCAAACAAGACTCTTAACCATAACAAAAATGAAGTTTTTATACTTGAGCCGTAAAAAAACTGGCCTCTTAATTTTTTACGGAAAATGCAACAAATCAGGCCGTGTAATTTAAGTAGGCCATGATATATATATATATATATATATATATATATATATATATATATATATATATATATATATATATATATATATATATATATATATATATATATATATATATATATATATATATATATATATATATATATATGTATATATATATATATATATATCAGGCCTTGCGATAAAGCGTCGGGCGATGTGAATTTTACGTCGTCCAAGAGCGATTTTGCGTGTAGCTAGGGCTATTTGCGTCGAGCAAAAAATTTTTTGTTTGAGTATATTTAAAGATATTTTTGAGCGGAATTTTAATGAAGTAATTTATGATTATTTTAACTTTTAATAAAGTATTTTAAAAACCGCACGCTGTTGAAATATAAGTTTGAATTAAAAATTGAATATTTACAAGTAGAAAAAGTTCAGATTAAAAAAAAAGTTTAAATCTTTTAAGCTAACATTTTAATAAAATTATTCAGCATTAGCAAAATTGAACAAAAATAATTTTAGTTTTAGATTTTAAACTTAAATAATTCTTTTAGTTTTAGATTTTAAACTTAAATAATTCTTTTAGTTTTAGATTTTAAACTTAAATAATTATTTTACGGGGGTTTGTTAGGTTTTAAAATTATTCCATAGATTTAAAAATATTTATTAACTGTTAGACGTATTTAAAGTGTGTGAGAGTAATTTCGAGGAAACATTTTAAAAATTGGTGAGCGCAAATAAAATAAAAAAAAAAGGATTAATATTAAAACGTATTCTACTTGATTCAATAAAAAAGTACAGTTATTAAAATTTTTGTAAAAAGTAACTCAAAAAAAATTACTTAAATAATAACGATCGCTTTTTACCGAAACTTATGGAAGCGTGCTCAAGAACAGCTGCAGAAAAATAGAACGTCAATAGTTTTTCGAATAATTTTTAATAATAATTTTTAAGAATAATTTTTTCGCTGAAATATTTCTTTTATACCTATAAGATTTTTATTCTAACATTTTATTTTATTTTACTAGAAATAAAATTCCTTGTTAACATGAAAAATCTATTCAAAACGTTCGTTTAAGCTTTTTATTAATACGAGTGATTGTCCTTATCAACCGCTTTATGAAAATAAAAATAAATAAATAAATATTATATAAAATCGCTTGTAAAAATATTAGCTATTGCACAGTTTTTATTCGTACAATATTAAAATTTCCAGTTTATTACTCGCTGACTTTTTAAAAAGAAAAAATAATTATTTGAAAAACTTTAAATTACATATTTAAGAAAAAAAAAATCAAATATTAGCATATTTAATAATCTATTTTAAATTTAAGTTATAATGTTTTTTATTCGTTTAGTATAGACGTGACAAACGTCGAGAAAATAAACAAATGTTTTTACATTTTAAAAAACGAAACATTCCAAAACATTTTTAAATAATAACATTTCTACATAAAGGATTTAAAGTAGTTTTGCGGTAATTAAGTAAATTGGTGCAGTTAATGTCGATAAATATGAAAAGCAAATAAAAAGAATTTAATGACGTCAAAAATCACGTCGTGCTTATGCGTCGCGCAGTTCTTATTCATCGCAAGGCCTGATATATATATATATATATATATATATATATATATATATATATATATATATATATATATATATATATATATATATATATATATATATATATATATATATATATATATATATATATATATATATATATATATATATAAATATATATAAATATATATATATATATATATATATATAAATATATATATATATATATATATATATATATATATATATATATATATTATATATATATATATATATATATATATATATATATATATATATATATATATATATATATATATATAAATCTACATATAACAATTATTAGGCGGGATTGTATTTCTAATTTACCGAATACTAACCTGTTTCCTTTTTTTCTCCTCTTCAAGCACTGTGTATATATATATATATATATATATATATATATATATATATATATATATATATATATATATATATATATATATATACATATATATATATATATATATATATATATATATATATATATATATATATATATATACATATATATATATATATATATATATATATATATATATATATATATATATATATATATATATACATATATATATATATATATATATATATATATATATATATATATATATATATATATATATATATACAGATAGTATTGCGTACTAAAGTAAGCAATCTGATGTCATACTGAAATAGCCTGCTGCTGGGGGCTTCAGTACATACATCGACTGACAAATAGCCTGACTCGCAGTCCACTGTGAGTCAGGCTATTTGTCAGTGCTGCTACATCGATTGAGGGTCTGGGATGGGAAAGCAATCGTTTTATTCATCATTCTTTGTTTTTTCTTCTTTTTCGAAAAAAACGATAAAGCTTAAGGTAAGCAGAAAAAGTGAGCAAATGCTTATCAAAACACGTTTTAGTATATACATATATATATATATATATATATATATATATATATATATATATATATATATATATATATATATATATATATATATATATATATATATATATATATATATATATGCAATGTGATACAAAATACAAAAATATTTAAACCTCAAATTTATATATATATATATATATATATATATATATATATATATATATATATATATATATATATATATATATATATATATATATATATATATATATATATATATATATATATATATATATATATATATATATATAAATATATATAAATATATATAATATATATATATATATATATATATATATATATATATATATATATATATATATATATATATATATATATATATGTATGTGTATATATATATATATATATATATATATATATATATATATATATATATATATATGTATATATATATATATATATGTGTGTGTGTATATATATATATATATATATATATATATATATATATATATATATATATATATATATGCAATGTGAAGTTGTATATATATATTTTTAAAACATATATTTGTAATTTAAAAACTTATTACTATTATTATTATACTATAATACTATTATTACTGTTCAGATTGTCTGTTTTAAATATATAGTTTTTTCTTTTAGTTTGTGCATCGACTTCTCACGAATCATACACAGAGTCGATTGTCGATGCAATAATTGCTGATTCGTGAAAACGGGCAACTTTTGCTTGTCTTAAAGTGCCTTATATCCATCGTTATAATATTACTTTGTTTGTAAATTGTTTTAAAAAATAAATTTTAAAATAACTTTTAAATAAATTTTTTATTTTTCTTGTTTTTTAAACCAACAGGTTCTTTTAAAAACAATTTAATAATAGTACCTATGGATTTGGAATATTTTCTAAAAAATAACGTCTTTTAAAAGTTTAAAAGACGCCTAAATTATGGTTTTATTTAGGTTATTTGAGAAAACGTTTTTTTTAGAACGTTTTTTAAACGACTTTTTCAGAACGTTTTTTAAACGCTTTTTCAAAAACGTTTTTTAGGTATTGCCATTCAGAACGTTTAAAAAACGTTTTTTTTCTTAGTTAAAAAAACGTTTTAAAAACGTTCATGTGCTTACTGGGTACACTGGTGCTCATGCCAAATTTAGTGTATATAGCATACCTAACAAATCTGCTACAACAAAAAGTAGATTGTTGCTATGCAAAAAAATAGGTATCCATAGCAACTAAATAAAAAACAACACCTTCATAAGAAGCACTAGCACTAGCACCTTCATAAGAAAACACTAGCTCTGACCTTATATTGGTACTCATGCCAAATATAGTGAATGTAGCACTAATATTGAATTAGTTATTAATTTTGTCTCAAAATTGACCATTCTGGCCCACTGTGGATAGTGAGATAATGTTTTATATCTTTATTTGGAAGGTATTTAATTTCTAGCATTCATGTAAGTATGTATCTTTTTCAAACTTATATTCATCTGTTAGGTTTTTAACATATAGAACATGATCATAAAGGATGCGTTGTTTATATTTAAAAATAATATTTTAATGGAATTAAATATCTTAAACGTACTGTTTTTTTTTCTTCTTTTGAACAAATTAACCGTCTTCTTCAAACAAAATTAAAAAATTATGAAGATTCAGGGAAAACTTAAAGCAGAGATAAAGAAATATACGTAAATGGTATTTATAAAGTTATTAATAATAAAACAAAATTCTAACAACTTACGAAAGATGTTTTAAGGAAACAAAATTTTTTAAGGAAACTAAATACAAAAGGTTTTTAATGATTCTACGTAAAACAAAATTTATCCGTCTGGATCCTTTTGTGCTCGTACCTTTGGACTTCCAAAGATACATAAATTAAACTCTTCTAAGAACACCATAAACTTTATATCCATTGCATCATTTCTTAGAACCTATAATTACCAATAAAACTTCTTAGAGATTTATTATCTCCATTAATAAATACTGTACAAATTCATTTTCCTTCGTTAAAGAAATAAGTTAAGTTGATCTCCACAAATATTTTTTAGTATCATATGATGTAACCAGCTAATTTATCAATGTTCCGCTTCAAGAAACCATTAAAATTGCAGTTAATTTAATTTTGCTCTATAATAAAAATATTAAAGTTACTAAAAATGTTTTAAAAAAATTATTTTAATTCGCCACTTTGCAAACAAATTTTTTTTTAAAAGGACAAACTTATGATCAAATTGATGGTTTAGCAATCGGTTCTCCACGAGCATCTATTCTTGCCGATTCGTTCATTGGTCATTTTGAAAGTAAATGGATTAAAAACTTTAATGGTGTAAAACCAGTTTTCTACAAAAGATACATTGATGACTTTAGTGCTGCTTTCCAGCCAGAATATGACGCACATATTTTTTTTTAGATGTAAAAATATATAAATTTTTTTACTATGGAACAAGAAGTAAATTCAAAAATATCTATTTTAGACATAACTCTAAATTTTATTACATTTGAATTCTACATATGAATTAATTCTTCAGTTACCGAGACCGTTTTTCATAAGTAAAACCAATTCTGGTCTTCACGCTAATTTTTATCGTTTCACTCCATTTTTATACAGAGTTAGTCTTACCAAATGCTTAATAGGTAGAACGTTTAAAATTAATAGTACTAAACTTGGGTTTCACTATGACATTAACAACCTCTTTAAGGTATTTCAAAGAAACATGTACCTATCTTGGCTAATTTCAAAAAGATATAAATACTATTTAAACAACTCAAATACTCCACCACAACCAAAAATCAAAGGATCCTTTTTTTATTTTAAACCCACCGTTTTTCGGAAAAATATTTGATTCCACTAACAAAAGACTAAATTCAATTTCTAAAAGATATTGCCTTTCTGCAAATTAGTATTTACCTCACTGAAAATTTCTAAATTTTTTTTCTAGAGATCAAATATCTCTAGAGTTCAAATCGTTCGTTAAAAAGTTCGTATTTTGCAAAATGAAACTCCTCTTATATAGGCGAAACTACTCGCCATTTTAATATGCTTTCTATATCTGAGCGTTTTAATATGGACAAAAAACCTCATCTTTATTAGCCTCTCCATGGCAATGAAAATTTTTTTATGTAAATAAGTGATAAGTGTATTTCAGTTTTAGATTAGGCATTTAACAAGTTCGAGTTAAAACTTAAGGAAAGTATGTTCATAGAATGATTAAAACCTGGTATGAATAAACAGGTTAATCATGTTCGAATGACACTTTCTGTTTAGCTACTACTATCTATACATACTGCGTATCTTTTTAACCTATTCTTTCATTATTTCCTATTTTTTTAGTATGACATATTAAACTTTTTAAATGATTTTATTGAGTTTTTGTAATTATATCATTATTATTTTGCACAAGAATAATTACATTTTGTATATATTTTTTAACATCTTTGTAGGTTTTTTAACCAATAAATTAATGCTTTACTGCATCCTGCACCATGTAGCAGCTTTACAAAATGCATTTAGTAATGTGTATACACAACTGAGTAGTGGTGATGTACAACTGATAATTTTATATGAAAGGTCTTCCGTGTTTAAATAAATAAAACTGTTCATAGTATATTGATAAAAAAAAATTTTTTTTATCAATTTACTTTGTACATTGATAAAAATCCATGCATTTTTTATGAAACGACATATAAAATTTAAAGAATAAGTTTGTGTATTTTTTATGGAAAGACATATAAAATTTAATAAATAGGTTTGTGTATTTTTATGCCAAAAATTATTAGGACAATATATTTGAAAAATATTAGTTTCAATACTTTTTAAAAACTAGTATGTTTTTATGTTAAAAGTTGAAAGAACGTAAAGCAGACCATGTCCTTAAGATATTTGTTTTATTAAGTTAACCTTATACTGCACACGTTTTTTAAAAGTTTAAAAAAACGGATAACCTCAATGCAAACTATTAAACTTTAGAGGGTTGTTTAAAATTCAAACGCAAGTTTTAACTTCAAGCAATGATAATAAATAAACAAAAAAAACGCTGCAAAGTTGATGTTATTTTAAATAAAAAGTTACTTGTTTTTTACTGGTTTGTTGCCGTTTGGCAATATTATGCAACATAGGATTAAAAAAAAAGTTTCTTTAAAGTGAAAAGATAAATGGCTTATTAGCAGAGGCGATTCTAAAAACAAAATGAGGGGTGGGTGTGGGGGTGAATCCTTTAAACTGATCGCAGGATTTGCTAAACCTGATCGCAGGTTTAGCAAATCTTGACTTTGTTTATCTGACTGGTATCTCTTTTATCAAAGATAATTTAACGTTTATGTATGTATCCCACTACATTACCAAACAAAACATTCTATTATGAACTAGTAAGAAAGTTTTTTGTACCTCTATTTTGACAATTTTAGTTTTAATATATCTTAGTTGTATCATAAGCAGTGTTTATCGTATTTGCTTGCTGCTAAATATGCTTGATCGTCTAACACTTTATATACAAGTTCGTAGATTTTACATTTCAAAAAATAAGCTGAAAGCTTTCAAGATTTAAAAAAAGTCAAAATAAATTGATGTATAAAGAATATCATTAAAAAAAAACCTCTATTTTGGAACAAGAACATTAAAGAGAAAGTGAGATGACTTGAACCTACTAAAACGGCTATTTTTATAACCACATTTTTTTTAAAAATATTATTGGTATAAAATTCGCTCCTGGAATAGTAAAATAAATACTTTATGTATATTTAATAGTTTTATGGTAACTTTATAATTAAATAACATTACAAGATTGAATAATATTTTGATAATACCATTGTCTTTTTAATTTTAAACGTGACAACACTAATGACAACACTAGTATATATATATATATATATATATATATATATATATATATATATATATATATATATATATATATATATATATATATATATATATATATATATATATATTTTTTTTTTTTTTTTTTTTTTTTTTTCTAAAATCCCATTTTTAATATTGCTTTTCCTGATTCTAGTTTTTTAAGTATTCAATTGTTACTTCCTAATTATTGTTTATGTTTATCTATGCTGAATTAAAGCATTTTTTTTAAATAAATATTAGCACATTTAGAATACGATTTTTTTAATAAATGCTACTGATCGAATGAGTTAACTATATATTATTTTGTTTATTTCCAGTTTAACTAATTAAAACTGTTATATGAAGTGTTGAACATGTCTAGTAGATACTGCAAGCTTTTTCCTGATTCATTCTGTTATGTTTGTGGTTGCTATATTAGTTCAACACAAACTAAACATAAGGTTGTCAGTGGTACTAAATTCTTTATTGCATATCATGCTTATTTTGGCATGGCTATGGGAGATGAGGACAAATCGTGGGCACCATACTACATTTGCGGCAGCTGCAGATCAACTCTAGAAGGATGGCTGCGTAGAATGTTAAAGTCAATGCCCTTCACTATTCCGAGAATATGGAGAGAACCGACGGACCATCATGATGATTTTTATTTCTGCATGGTTGACAGTTCAAAGTAAAAAAAGCCGAAGGATAGGCTGACTCTAGTTTATACAAGTATACCCTCTACTATTGAACCAGTTCCATATAGTGATGAGTTGCCTATTCCTAACCTACATTAATCCGAAGAAGCAGCTGCATATCATTCTGAAGTAGAAACACCCGATAAACTCTGTGACACACACAGAGTTCATCGGGTGATTTTAGGGAACCGAATGATTCACCTCATTTCTCTAACCAACAAAAACCTGATGACTTAGTACAAAATTTAGGTCTCACTAAATCAAATGAAGAACTTCTGACATCAC